AGTGAGTAAGGGCTGGGGGGGGGGGGGGGGGGGGGAAGTCCTCACAGTTCTTCACTCTGGGCCTACCCATTCAGGACAAGAATTCTCCTAAAAAATCTAATTTTTCTTTGAATTCTTTAGGTTTTTCCATATTAAAATAGTCTCCCTGCTCTTTCCATTAGAGACGTCTAAGCCATACAGTATGCACAAACTAATAATAATTATACGTTTAAGCCAATGATGGAAGCTGTGGAAGTACATGGGATTAGCAAGAACGCTCTCTTCAGCTGTTTCTCTCAGGTACGTCCAATACCTTCAGGAAAACTGTCAAGGGGCTGTTCTCGAGATAAGAGGTGTTTGTGGAGGGGCCTGGATAAACACCCGAAATCGTAGGAAGTCAAGTGTGCTCTTCTCACTCTGATGTACTGGCCTGAGGTCACTGAAAGCTGGACCTTTGCCACCTCAGCCAGGACTCAGCCACTACGATTAATACTACAACTCCACTTCAGCCCAGTGAAGAGGCGCCCTTGAAAGGCGAACCACGCGCGCATCGCTACTGCGCAAGCAGGAACTTTCCTGAGCAGCCTCCGCCGAATCCTGGACCATCAGGCTATATAACCTGCGAGAAGATACTCAGTTTTTACAAAGTTTCGGGGGAAAGAAAAGTAGTCCTTATAACTGTGCCGAAGCAATAATGACTTTTAAAAGTAGAGCGTACTCTAACACAGGGTCACGCACATGAAGTCATTCTGCACATCACGGCCACTCAATCAGCTTAGGCAAAAGAGCACCATACTGTCCAGTAGCCATGCCGAAGGCTGTTTCTGTGACACAAGCTTTTAACACCACCACCCGAGCATAAGGTAACTTTAACACAAGGGTCTGTCATGCTGCAGTATTATCACCTACGGCAGTCAAGCAGCTCTTTAAAAGAGAATCAATACCTTTCCAACGAAACCAGGTATAGGCTAATTAGTGCCTTAATTAGTTGAGATGGTGACCGCAGCTGCTGCTCATTGTGGAAACAGCATCAGGCACGGAGGTGTGTCCAGACGAACCTGCTTCTCTGGAAGGTAATCTGGTTCCCATTAATGGGTAACACGCTTCCAGTTTAATTTCTGCTATTTTTTAAAAATGTCCCTGCAACACTGTACCAACCTGATCATAAACCCCCCTCACATCCCCACACAGCTAGGACCTTTTTGTACACGATTTTTGAACACTCATTTTGCACAAGCTGTCTCCTTTACCTATAATGATCTCTCCGAATCGCTCCTGCAGGTGAGCTCAGAGCATACCTCACCCCATCACCTCCAGAACCAAACTATTACAACACTGCAATTCTCGATCAGTCTGTGGATTTCCTCCAGGAGGCTACAGTTACATCTTGTAGCATCTTAGTATCCCCTGATCTTGGCAGAGTAGAAGCTCAATACCAAGTCTGTTGACTGAATGAGTGAACTAATCCATTTTAAGAAATTAACACATTAGTGGGAACCCCATAAACCCTGTATGCAGCCTGCAGTCTGGAGATTCCTCACCTTATCAAAGACCCTAGGAGAGCCAGTTCCTGGACAAACCCCACAGTCTCCTTAAATTGTAGGTGGGGTTGAGGGTGACAGGAACTGAAGGAAGCCGAAGGGAAATGGAGGTAGGGGAAGCGCTACCCTCTGCTCTCTCAAAAAGGTAAACCCCACCTACAGGTATTCAAAACCCAGGTTAGGGGTCATGACGGGGAGAAGGGGAAGAGAGGAACTTGGCAATACGCAGAGCTCTGCAAGTTTGAGGTGGAGACCTGATCTGAAATTGTGGCCACAGGTTTTCCCTATGAGCCAGCCCAACCACCCAAGCAGTCAGTCTGTGGATTTCCTCCAGGAGGCTACAGTTACATCTTGTAGCATCTTAGTATCCCCTGATCTTGGCAGAGTAGAAGCTCAATACCAAGTCTGTTGACTGAATGAGTGAACTAATCCATTTTAAGAAATTAACACATTAGTGGGAACCCCATAAACCCTGTATGCAGCCTGCAGTCTGGAGATTCCTCACCTTATCAAAGACCCTAGGAGAGCCAGTTCCTGGACAAACCCCACAGTCTCCTTAAATTGTATGTGGGGTTGAGGGTGACAGGAACTGAAGGAAGCGGAAGGGAAATGGAGGTAGGGGCAGCGCTACCCTCTGCTCCCTCAAAAAGGTAAACCCCACCTACAGGTATTCAAAACCCAGGTTAGGGGTCATGACGGGGAGAAGGGGGCGAGAGGAACTTGGCAATACGCAGAGCTCTGCAAGTTTGAGGTGGAGACCTGATCTGAAATTGTGGCCACAGGTTTTCCCTATGAGCCAGCCCAACCACCCAAGCAGGGGCCAAGATCCCGAGGAGGCCGGTGGCACAGCTGGGGCCTAGTTGGTGGAGACGTAAAAACTCCCCTCTCCCAAGATCCTGTTCCCCTGGGGGAGGACGGCAGAGGAGGGTCGGGGAGCCGCGCGTTCCTCTCCAGCTGGAGCGACAGCAATGTCCTTGTCTTTCATCCTCTCGTCCCCAGCCCGTGGATCTCTCCAGCTGCCCTTTCTGGGCCCCCTCTGGTTCCCAAAAAGCAGAAGGGACTGAGGAGGGGGCGAGTGTGTGGGTTTAACCACAAACTCTCCAGACAGCCCTCACCTTCCACCTTAATTCCCCAGACAAGCCGTGCGCCTCACAGCGGGCGGCTCCCTCCGCGAGAGAAAACTCCCGGGCCCCAGTCACCTCGCGCCCCCCCTGCCCTGCCCGCGTCCCGGGCCGCAGATTCCAAGTTGGCGTTGGCAGCCTTTGCCCAAGTCATCAGCAAGGCGCCCGGGACGCCGACGCGGCCCCCGACGCCGGGCCCTTCTCTTCTGGCCCAGACGGCGTTTACCTGCTTACATGGCTCCGTCGGTGCCCTGGAGTCCCGCGCGGAAAGGCTGTCCTCCGCGGCGGCGGCAGAGCCCCAATTCCCCAAGGAATTGATTCCAGTGGCTGGCGGAGGAGGGGCGGACGGTAGGAGCCGGAGGAGGCGAAAGGGGAGGGAGGTTTCCGCCGCGATCCCGGCGCGAGAGTCGGCGCAGGGGCGCACGGAGCAGGAGAAAAGGAGAGCCACCCAAGCCCGGGGCTGTCCCGCCGGAGGGGGGCCGAGGCGAGGAGGCCGGGGGGGATGGCAGAGGTGGGAGGGGAAGGATCGCCAGCGGCCACTTTGTGTCTGCGGCTCCCCGTGGACCTGAGCCCAGAGGGCAGGCAGCTGAGCGAGCAGGAGCGCAGCAACCTGCCCCCACGCCTGCGCCCGCTGCGCCCGCTCGGGGAGGAAAAGTTGGGAAGAACTTTTAGCGGCCGGGAGAGCCGGAGCGGCAGGAAACGCGAGCAGCAGGGAAAGGAGGGAGGAAGGGGCCGTGCGAGTGGGAGGGGACGGAGCAGGAGGCGGCAGCCGCGGCTCCCCCACCCC